TTTTTTTTTTTTTTTTTTTTTTACCATAGAGGAAGAGTGGTAGCTTAGCAGTGATGTGTATGGCGTCTGAGCTGATAGCTCATTAAGAACCAAGAATAAAGGAGTGCTGCTGCCGCTGTTATCGGCTGCTGTCTTGTCAGCCCCCAACTTGTGGCAACCGTGTGCACAACCCCATTGTGCTCCTTAGGGTTTTCATTGGCTTATTTTTCAGAAGTAGGTTTCCAGACCTTTTTCCTAGTCTGTCTCCGTCTGGAAGTTCCACTGAGACCTCTTCAACATCATAGCAGCACAAGTCTCCACTGACAGTTGTGTGGTGGCTGTGTTTGAGGTACACTGGCCGGGAACCGTTGGCCTTGGTCTCCCACATGGGAAGCAAGAAATCTGCCACTGAAGCACCAGTGCCCCCAAAATGAGTACAAAATAAACAAATTAAGTGTTGAGATGTGTTAGCAGTAAAAGTCGCAGAAACAGTGCTTTCCTCGGTGTAGACTCAGTGTAGCCTGGGGTTCTTTCTCTTCTGCACTGGTCAGACTCTATCTGGAATATGATGTTGGCTTCTGGGCCACACATTCTAGAGGGACATAGCACATTGGAGTTAGTATAGATGTGAGAAATCAGGGAAATGGAATGAGTCCTGATGAATGATGGAATGCTTGGGCTGAAGGGGAGACAGGAAGTAGGAAGGAGCAGCTGCAGGAGTGGGAGTGGAAACCTGAATAACAGCCATCACATATTGGAAAGGCTGCTGTGTTGAGGTGAAATTACACTTCCCCTCTGTGGTCCTGAAGGAGCCCTAGTGGTGCAGTGCTTAACAAAGCTCGGCTGCTAACCAGAAGGTCAGTGGTTCGAACCCACCAGCCATTCCACATGAGAAATATATGGTAGTCTGCTTCTGTAAAAATGTACAGCCTTGGGAACCCTATGGGGCAGTTTCTGTTCTGTGCTGTAGGGTTGCTTTGAGTCAGAAACGACTTGACAACAGTGGTTTGCTTTTTTTTTAGTGGCACCATTTGGTCACATAAAGACCATGTGGGGTTATAGAGAAGCTATACAGGACTGATTTGAGGTATTAATAAGGAAGAATCTGTTGTCTTTTCTGAAAGTATATTTGGAGGCCTATTTTAGACTTATTTCCTTACTCTTCTAAGCAATCATAATATGTTTTTATAACTGTATTCCTGTGATCATGCTAATTCTGGACTTTTTATTATGAATCTTTTCTTTCTCTTTCCCTTGTTCTTTCTCTTTCCCTTGTTAACTCCCTGTTTAATTTGTGGTGAGGGTGCAAGAGGAGATTGGGGGAAAGGGTGGGAAAGTCAACCCGGAACTTTGTTTTTTCTTCTGCTTGCTTTTCAGCCCTCAGTAACTGAGGACAAATCTTGAGTGGTCTTCAGACAGTCAGAGTCATAATTTGTGGCCACCCCTGAAGTTTACCTTGGAAGCTTAGTTAGTGTGGCTGTGAAGAGGAATACCCCAGATCCTTAACTCAAAGTTTATACTCTTAATACTTACCAAAGGGTTTGTTTTAAGTTTCGTAGAAAACTAAAGCTTTTGAATTCTTTTATATTTTTAAAATAGCTAATTTTTTTTCTTCTCTTTCCTCAGAGGTGATTACTCTTGGATTCTTCTGCTTACAATGGCGCAAAGAACTGGACTTGAAGATCCTGAGAGATATCTCTTTGTGGATAGGGCTGTCATCTACAACCCTGCCACTCAAGCTGATTGGACGGCTAAAAAGTTAGTTTGGATTCCATCAGAACGCCATGGCTTTGAGGCAGCTAGTATCAAAGAAGAGCGAGGAGATGAAGTTATGGTTGAGCTGGCTGAGAATGGAAAGAAAGCAATGGTCAACAAAGATGATATTCAGAAGATGAACCCACCTAAGTTTTCCAAGGTGGAGGATATGGCAGAATTGACGTGCTTGAACGAAGCCTCTGTTTTACATAATCTGAAGGATCGCTACTATTCAGGGCTCATCTATGTGAGTATCCTTCTAAATGACCATGTGAAGTGGCGACGCAGAGTTCATATAAATCATATGCTGTAATCAAAATAGAGTGTGGAATACCCACATGCTCTGTTTAACGTGGCTGTTTCTATTAAAGATTGGTTGGTTCTTGCTTCCCAAGTCTTGCTTTGCTTTAGATCTTAACACATAATTTTAAATAACCCAATCAGCAATTAAGTATAATAAAATGGTACTTGAGGATTTAGAGAAGTACTCTGGAGTGTAATAAGATGGAACAGAGCATGTGGCGTGAACACCAGGGAGTTTCATATAGTAGTAAGATGCAGACAGCAAACTGATAGAATAGTAAGTGTGTACCCGGGAGAGTATAATGGAGGGGCTGCAAGCTTAAAGGTTTCAGTGAAGAAGAACAGGTTTCTTGGGTACAGGGAAATGGGAAAGACGAATACTGAGGTTTTTAAGAGGAAACAATTTAGGGTGAGATTGAAGCTTGAGGGTTTCCCTTGTGGTTAGCAGCAGACATGTATGTTGTGGTTGCTGCCAGTGTCACTGACCATATAGAAGTTGTTGAAAATAGTAAGAGATCAGGTAGAAATGAAAAATGCAAGCCAGATACAGAAAAAACAACTTAGAACAATAAAATAGATTTGAGAGTATGGTAGACAGAGGTGGCAGTGACTTAGAATAACAACTCACTGCCGTTGAGTCAATTTCGACTCCTAGCAACCCTTCCTTGGGTTTCTGAGGCGGTACCACTATGGAAGTACATTGCCCAACCTTCCTTCTGAGACTTAGAATAAAGACAAACCCAAGACCCAAAACCCAAACCCAGTGCCATCAAGTTGATTCTGACTCATAGTGTCCCTGTAGGATAGACTAGAACTGCTCCATAGGGTTTCTAAACTGTGAAGTTTTACGGAAGCAGACTGCCTCGTCTTTTGCCTGTGGAGCAGCTGGTGGGTTTGAATAGCTGACCTTTTGGTTGGCAGCCAAATGCCTTAACCACTGCACCCGAGCTGCTAGAATGAAGGCAGAGGGAAAAGTTGAGTTTAATGGTCTGAATTTGGAAAGGTGTGGCTGGGTTTTATCAAGGAGTGTGCTACAGAACAGTGTATTACTGGTCTTAGAAGAACTGCCGCCAGAATGTTCCTTAGAAGGGAGGATGGCTTTACTTTGTCTCTTGTGTTTGGTCATCAGGAGGGACTGTACCCTCAGGGAAAAAGGGGAAGACCCTTAACGAGATTGATTCCCGCAGTTACTGCAGCGGTGGGTTCAAGCATGGCAAAGATTGTGAAATGGTGCAAGTCCGGGCAGTGTTTTGTTCTGTTGCACATAGAGTTGCTATGGGTCAAAACCAACTTAACAACAGTTTTTTCACAAATATTTACTGAGCACCTACTGTGTTCCAGGTACTGGGAATAGTGTAACAAACAAGACAGGTGTGGATCTTTGTCTTTGTGATATAAATAGAGCTGCTTCCTATAGGAAATGAAACAGGGCTATGGGATGTCTCCTCTTTGAGGAGACAGCGTTTGAGCTGGAATGACTCAGGAGGGAGTGATGTTGTGTGCTATCAATCTGACTCTGACTCTTAGCAGCCCTATGTATAACAGAATGGAACTGCTCCATAGGGTTTCTTAGGTGGTCATCTTTAAGGCAGCAGATTGCCAGGTCTGTTACCCTGTGGTGTGGCTAGTGGGTTCCAACTACTAACCTTTCAGTTAGCAGCCAAGCACTTAACCAGGGATACTTAGGAAGGAGCTAGCCATGGGAGAATCTGAAAAATGAAAAGTTCATTTATGAGCTTTGCCAGAGTAGTTTCAAGTGTGATGGTCTTTCCCATCCATCCCAACCCATCCCATCCCATCCCATCCCATCCATCCATACATCATCTATTTATCTCTCTCTGTGAAATAGGATGCAAAGAGAGTAAGGTGGCTTGAGAATGGAAGAGATTTGGAAAAGGGGAAACCAAGGAGAACAGCATTGCCAGTCCAGTTGATATAGAATGCAAAATGTGTAATGGTACCATATTTTTATTTGTGTGAGTTTGACAGATTATGGGATTGCTTTAGAATGGGAGGCAGGAAGACTTAGTTCATTGTTGTATTTCTGTTGCTAGCAGAGGGCCTGGCACACAGACACAAATAAGTACCCTTTTCCTTCCTTCCTCATTGTACGTGTTGAAGGAGCTGATGAGGGATGTTTAATAGTTGCCTCTGAAGTCTAGGCTTGCTAGGTATAGAAGTCTGGACAGAAGGGAATTGATGGATCAAGGGCTGGAGATTTTGATGACACAGAACAGGAATAATGGGAGTAAGGGACTGAGAAACTGGGAAATGAAGAGTCATCAAACTGTAATGTTGATACCTAAGATTTGAGGGGTGGATCAGTTTTGGATTATGCCTTGTGCAGTCACCTGTGAATGCAGTTTGATTGAGAAAGCAGGAAGAATAAGAAGGATTTTATTAAATCTCAACTTTGAGTAGAAGTCTTTTGTCTGTGTGATGAAATGAGAAGTATATGTAAAGTATTTCTGCTCCACTCTAAAATATGACAGATGCCTTGAGGAGAAGCATGTTTGTAGTTATCTGGGTTGTAAGCTATGCTAGCCACTTTCTTTTCTTTTAGTAGAACCCTATTTTTATTTAATAGAATGACTGATAGATAAGCTATGGTTAACCAAGGTATTTGGCATACAGATTCTTGAAAATAGGGTTCCTCGTGCAAACAGGTAATGTGTTTGGCTGCTAACCAAAAAGTTGGAGGCTTGAATCCACCCAGAGGTGGTTCAGAAGAAAGGCCTGGCGATTTCCTTCTGAAAAATCAGCCACTGAGAACCCCTTGGAGGACAGTGTTACTCTGACGTACACAGGGTCTTCATGAGTCAGAACCGACTCAGTGGCAGTTGGTGCTGGTACTGGTTCTTGAAAATGAACAAAGTAAACCTGTCACTTCAAGGAGGACAACTGACCTATCTGTTACTAAGGATAAAATTTGAGTTTTCACATAAAAGTTAGAATTTTGGGAAATTTATATCTACCACTATGAACTTGATAGCTTGTGAATACTTAAAAACTTTCTAATGGGGTAGAACCCCTCCAAAAAAACCAAACACACTACCACTGAGTCTGATCCGACTCTTAGCGACCCCTCCTTGGGTTTCCAAAGCAGTATCATTACGGAAGTAGATTGGCCAACCTTCCTTCCGAGGAGTGGCTGGTGGGTAATGGGATAGAAGATAATATTAATGTGAATTTTGATATCATATAATGAAATGTTCTCCTTTGGAATTATGTAAATCTTCTTTGGAAGATTTACATAATTCAGTGAACCAGTATCTTCCAAATAATATATGTACAATATTGCACAATTGTGCACAGAGAAAAGATTGTTTCAATATGCAAGATAAACTAATGGATTTTAATGTACCAAAGTATGAAATTTCATCAATAGAGTTTTGAATGCCATATTGCATCTAATATTTTAAGAAAATACAACTTGTCGAGTTTTGTATCACTTCAAAGAGGAATATCCACAGTTACCTCAAAAGAGTGTTTAACTATACCTAAACTTTTTCCAGCTAAATATCTGTGAGGCCCTATTTTCTTCATACACTTCAAGCAGAACATAACACAACAGACTGAATGCAGAAACATTGAAAACATCGAATGCAGAAAATTGCACTATTTTCTGTTAAGCGGGACAGTATTAAAGTATTTGCAAAAATATGTAATAGTACCATTCTTCTTCCTTTTTTTGTTTGTTTTGCTTGGGAAAATACAGTTATTTTTCATAAAAATGTTAACATGTAATGTTATTTTTAAATGAATATATAGGCTGTTTTGATGATTCTAATGCAAGGGCTTGTACTTGTACCTGGTGTACATGGCAGGTTTTTTGAAAGATATATGAATAGAGGTGGAATTTCTGGGTGGCAGTATATACATATCTTTAACTCATGTCCTTAACTTTTCTCGATAATGTCAGATTTAGTTGGTGTCACAGCATGAAACAGATGGCCCTTAAATTGAGTAATCTGAGAAATTAATAACTAAAGGGATGATTTACAAACATGTGGGATGAATTAAAAAAAAAGGAATAATGTACTACCAGGGCTAGTTAATGTCTACGAGCCCTTGATACATCTTGGCCTTTATTTAAAGTAATAATAGGAAAGAGCCGTTACCTCCACTTGAAGAATGTTGTTGTTGTTATTTACCATTCAGTCAGTCCCAACTCATGGTGACCCCATGTGTGTCAGAGTGGAACTGCTCCATAGGTTTTCAAGACTGACCTTTCAAAAGGAGATCTGTCCTGTCTTCCCAGATACCTTTGTGTGAGTTTGAACTGCCAACCTTTTAGCTAGTGGTCACGTGCTTAACTGTGTGCACTATCCGGGGACTACTGTTGTTGTTGTTGTTGTTGTTATGTGCCGTTGGTGCCGTCGAGTTGGCCCCGACTCATAGCGACCCCTCCTTGGGTTTCCGAGGCAGTTATCACTACGGAAGTAGGATTGCCCAACCTTCCTTCCGAGGAGTGGCTGGTGGGTTTGAACCGCCAGCCATCTGGTTAGCAGGCAAGTGTCTTAGCCACTATGCTACCAGAGCTCCTGGGGACTACTGTGGGGAGGGTAGAAACTGAAAAACCAACACCACTGCCGTTGAGTCCATTTCGACTCATGGTGGCCCCATGGGACAGGGAACTGTCTGCGTGAGGTTTCCAAGGTTGTAAATGTTGATGGAAGCAGACTGCCTCATCTTTCTCCCGTGGAGTAGCCGATGGATTTGAACCGTAGACCTTTTAGGTTAGCAGCCAGATACTTGAACCAGTGTGTCCCCGGAACTCCTATGGAGGGGGTTACCTTATAGGAACTGGGGGCAGTGGTGCTTCAGCGGTAGATAGAACTCTCGTCTTCCAGGTGGGAGACCTGGGTTCAGTTCCTGGCCAGGGCGCCTCGTGCGCAGCTGTCGTCCGTCATCAGCTGTGATGCTGAACAGGTTTCAGCAGAG